TGTGGGGAAGAGGAGGGATGAAAGATGGTGAGGAGTCACACTGTTACTGTACATTCAGGTACATAACCTGTGTCTTTTAAAAACCAATGCTGGGCATGGCAGATGGACCTGTGAGTTCAAGGCCAGCCTGGTCTACAAAGAAAAGTATGAACAAATAGGTCTCTGATTCTTGTGTGAGAATCAGAATGCAATGCAGACAAATACAAAACAACAAAAACCTCTATATTTTCATTCATTTTTCTTCTGATGTTCATTTACAGAGTAAAAAAATATTTTAAGGATTGATACTGAAAAGATGCAGCAATGAACGTCACACAAGTTTACATTTATAATCTTAGCTTGGATAAACTGTCTCTGCTGGCACAGGAAGCATGACCTTCACAGCTGCCATCCTCATACCTGTTTCTGAGCTTCTACCTTCTGCTTCCTGGTGGGGTCAATTGCATCTACCATCCATTTAATAGTGAAGTATGTTACTGCACCAAATATTGTTAAACGGAAAATTAAACCAACAACTTCGTTCCGACTCAATGGACGAGAAAAGGCTTCAGCATGTACCATCTTGATTGTTAACCTTAAAAAAAGCACAGAGAAAAGTCACTAGGTAATAACCATGTTTGTTAAAACTGGGAGAGAAAGCAGGCTGACCTAGGTAGAAGAAACTAACTTCTGGTCAAAATAAAACATTGCCTATTGTTTAAGAAGTGTCTCATTTGAAGGAAAATCATATGTTAAGTAAACAAACACATTAAAAGTAATCCTTAGGAGATGGCTCAGTGGTTAAGAGCACTGACTGCACTTCCAGAGGTCCTGAGTTCAAATCCCAGCAACCACATAGTGGCTCACAACCATCTGTAATGAGATCTGATGCCCTCTTCTGGTGTGTCTGAAGACAGCTACAGTGTATTCATATATAATAAATAAATAAATCTTAAAAAAAAAAAGTAATCCTTAGAAACTGAAGTAGGCTAGATACATTCAGTCATAAAATAAACATTATTAAAAAGGAAAGTACAGCTGGGCAGTGGTGGCGCACGCCTTTAGTCCCAGCACTTGGGAGGCAGAGGCAGGTGGATTTCTGAGTTGGAGGCCAGCCTGGTCTACAGAGTGAGTTCTAGGACAGCCAGCGCTACACAGAGAAACCCTGTCTCAAAAAAACAAAAAACAAAAAAACAAAAACAAAAAAAAAAGTAAAGGACAAATATTATACTTCTCTTAGCTTTTAAGTATGTTTTAGAGAACCTGGAAAACAATAATTTTAATATTAATCCAACTGCAGAAGAGGCTAACAAGAAAATCCTTTACTAATACTAGAGTAAAAATGCCTTCTATTATATATAACAAATACCAAGTCATTTGAGAGTGAAAATCAAACTGCAAACTATACATCTGACAAGTGGTTAATAACTATAATCTATAATGCATTTAAAAACTTAAAACACACACACACCACCCAATCACTAAATGGTAAACAGTCTAATGAATTCAACAGACAGTTCTCAAGGGAATAAATACATATGGACAATAAATATTTGAAAGCGTTTTTTAGCCGGCAAAGAAATGCAAATTAAAACTGTCTTGATATTCCATCTTACTTCAGTTAGACTGGCTAACATCAATAAAACAAATGCCAGTAAGGATATGAGGAAGCAGGAATCATATTTATACAAAACTAGTAGGTATGAGAGCTGCTGCAGCCACCACAAAAATCACTATGGAGATGAATTATATACCATGAACCCAAAAAATTGTACTTCAGCATCCCAGAGAGATACTTATACAACCACGCTTTTTGCTACATTATTGCTAATAGCCAAGATATAGAACTAGCCTAGATGTCCATCAACAAATAAATATTTAGAGAAAATGTGATGCACAATGGGATTTTAGAGAGCTATAGAAAAGGAATCATCATTTTCAGGAAAATTAATGAAAACTAGAGATCACTACAGGAATTAAATAAGCAGGGTCAGAAAGACAAATGTTGTATGTTCTCTTAGCAAAATTACAGTTATGAAATAGCAACAAAATTATTTTATGGTTGGGGGAGGTCACCACAACACGAGGAACTATATAAGGTAGCAGCATTGGGAAGATAAGAACCACTGGTCTAAGGGGAAAGAGAGACAAGGGAGAGTATGGACTGATCACACGTGACATGAAAACAAAAGGAGGATCTGGACATGAGGCTCACACAAGTAATCCCTGTGCCCGGAGGCTGAGACAGACCGCTATGCGTCAAAGGCCTGTCTGGAGTACACAGTGAGTTGTAAGACAGCTTGGGCTACAATGAGACCCTAAACAACTCAGGAACAGGGTAAAGGAGGTGATGTGACTGCTTTTAAATACGGTACATTCCTGAGCAACTACAACAATCAGGTTTACAGCAGGAATTAGCTCCAGTGTCAAAGGCAACACTTTCACAAAAACAAGCTTATCAGGAGTGATGTGACATCACATTTTAGGAACTAGGTATCAGTGTCTAACAGCGTTAAGCCTTGACAAGTGCTGGGAGAAGGGGAGCTAAGAAAACAATACTCATACATACTAACTCACCTAGAAATAAATAAATCAGAATCTAGACTGCTCAGGTAGGTGCTTAGTGGGTATTACACTGACTAATATCCATGTTCTTTCTTTTAAAATAGTTATTTTTCTTACTACTACTAAGTTAAAATACTTCTCACTGGCTTCTCTGGAATAGCTCTAATGTTTGTTTATAGTTGTGAAGTAAAGAAAAAACCTCTCAATTCTTTCAGCCATCCAACAGCGGCTAAAATGCTTTATAAGTCAGCGTTTATACTTCTTGGCTACTAGGAACCATTCCCATCAAATAATTTAAACAACTAACTGCAAAGCTCTCAATTTGGATAAAGAAACTTTGGTCTAGGATGATAAGTAATTCAACAAGAACTTAAAGAACATTTACAAAAAAGAACCTACTATATTTGACATATAATGGCTACTATATAATTACACAAAAAATACAATGTGATTACTTAAAAAAAAAATGGAACTGATTTAGCCATCAAATTATAATTGCCTCACGTAACAATTCACCGTATGGCTAAGTATCCATAGAATTATCCATTTGTATAGACTTCAAAAAATAGGACACGTGATAATCGACTTCTCAATGGACCTGAAAATTTTACTTTCATTGTCTATACCCCAATAAAGCTGCAAACACAGTTGATGATAACCCAATAGATGGGATAAAGGTCCAAGGTTCAAGGGTAACCTGGGCTACATAGGGTTCAAGATTAATAATCTAAAGCACATAAAACATCCTGCCTCCAAAAACCAGGAGTTTAAATTAGCATGTTGAAAATGCCATCTACTGGGCAGTCACTGAATTACATGATAAATCAGGGCTATGGGCTATTCCTAAAGCGTATTTCCTTAAAATCATGAAGGCATAATAATGTTTTGGTTTTGTTTATGGGAACAAAGTTTCTCCATGTAGTCCTGGCTGTCCTCAAACTCTGAGATCCGCCTGCCCCTGCCTCCCAAGTGCTGGGATTAAAGCTGCGTGTCACCATACCTGGTGACAGTAATGTTTTTAATTCTATCAAAAAACCACCAACGGACAAATATCTTGCTTAAATGTCTTCCTATTCCAATATTAACATTGACTCAAGACTACTGCGTATCTAGGCAGAGGTTGGCGGTGGTAGCAGCAACTAAAATTTGAGTGAAGAGGCAGCCCACAGAATGGGAGGATATCTTTGCCAACTGTCTGACAGAGGATTAATATCCAGAATACATAAAGAACTCGGAAAACTGTCGAGTGATGGTGGCTGACTCCTTTAATCTCGATACCTGGGAGGTAGAGGCAAGCAGATCTCTAAATTGGAGACCAGCCTGGTCTTCAGAGTTCCAGGACAGCCAGGGATACTCAGAAAAACCTTATCTCAAAAAAAAAAAAAAAAACCATACAAAAGACTTCTGCTGGTCTATATCCTTGAGTGACTTCAAAATCCTGAAATGAAACTGAAACATTCTGCTTTGTAGAGACAGTGAATGGAAATGTTTTATACAGTCTCCACAGATGAGATACATATAGCTGCAAACGTGGAAGAAACACTAATTTTAACAAAAGATACACATGGCTGTATAAAATTAAGAAACACCACAAGACCAGTGTAATTCAGAATTACATTTAAACGAATATAATTTTAAATCTTTTTATTTTAAGCTCTGGTTTCAGTGTGGATATCCTATCACTGAGCAACTGGCTAACGTTTATACTGCGGTATTTCCTAAGTCATTGCAGTGTTCTACAAATGGTCTCTCAACCCAAAGTCCCAATTCCATGCCTATCAAGGCCCTACAGACGAAAACGCAGCCTGTGACAGTGAATTCCTGCCAGGCTTCGCGTGGAGGGCAAGTCATTCTTAACATCAGCATCTTCTGTGAAAGCATGGCCAGCACTGAACAAACACCTCCGCCTTTGCACAAAGAGGGAGGAGCAGGGCCGGCACGAGCGGACCGGCTTCTTCCAGCCGCCTTCTTACAAGCCTAGTCCTGAGGTCGCCCTGAGCGCCCCCAATCCTCCAGTGACCAGGCCGCCTACACGAGATGTCCTTGCAGGCGGCCGGAGTCTCCCGCCAGCGCTGAGACCTGAGGGCTCGCGCCGGGCCGGGCGCCAAGGCGAGGCCCCGGACGCCCTTGGAGGTTAATCCGCTGGATCCGGGGCGGCACTCAAGTGTGACGGACGCCGGGGCAGGTGACTGTCGGGCTGGTCTCCCCAGGTGAGCGCCAGGCCCTGGGGGACCGGGAGGGATGGGGGACGCACCTGGCCCGGCCCCGCGGGAACCCGCTACTCACCCAGAGGCAGGACCAGAGACGACAGGAGCCTTAGCCCGGCCTCACACAGGAAAGAAATGCGGCCCGGGAGAGAACGCTTCCGGGGGCTGGAGCCCCGCCCCCGCACGGAGCATGCGCAATCTCTGCCGAGCCACTGGAGGGCCAGCCTAAGGCATGGCGACGCAGTGCAGGGCGCGCTACCTACCCCATCCCACGCCTTAGTACCCGCTGTGCCGATACATTCAGAAAGGTAGATAGGATGAACAGATCGTACCCCAAAGGGCTCTGAGTTCAGCTTGAGAGACTCAGAAACTGAATTGGGAAAGACGCTTGAGACATGAAATCCCTTGCTACTCTGGAGCTGTACACAATCCTGACAGAGGAGCCTTTTACAGAAGGCAAAGAAATGCTTCCCTGGTTTGATAAACTTTCACCACCCGCTGCAAGTCCTCAAGCTGCTGCGCAGACGCGCATGGCCTCACCATCTGCCTTTCTAGGGTGAGCTCACCCTCCTCCATCTCTGTACTGCTGACACCTGGAGGTGGTGCCCGAGAATCCGCTGAACGCTTGAGCAGCCAGGCAGACCAGGGAGGTCTGGCAGTTGGGTCAGAATAGGGCATCTGGTGACAGGTTTTGCATATTGATGACTTGTTTTTTCTTTTACCCCTTCCTCTTGCGAAGTGAGGGACGTGAAACCAAGGTTCCAAGGAACCATATCTGAAAGCCAGCCCTTTCTGAATATATATACTACCGAGCAACAAGATAAGTAGACACTGCCTCTAAACAAAAGGAATAAGGCAGCCTTCTTAAGAATTCTTTATATTCCTGGAGGTGGCAGTTTGGTTTGCTCTGTTGTCAGGGTTATCTTTTAAGAGTAAAGAATTGTGCAGCCAAGCTGGGATTGGTGTCCCAGGCCTATTTTTCCAGCATTGGGGTGGCTAAGCAAGGAGTAACACACTGTTTCCTCCCCCTGCTGACAGTTATATTAGTAAACTATGTCAATAACTGTGGGGAGACACAGTCTAGCAGTGCTGCCAGAGCCTGGAAAATTCCTTGTTAAAAGACTACATTGGGGTCCAATAGAAGAATGCACAGTATAGATGGAATGAATGGATATTAAAAGAGGGCGTTTTGCTTTGTTTTGTTTTAATTTTAGATTGATTTACACAGCACACTCTTGAGTGGACCAACAATGGCTGTCCTGGTCGCTGGGCAGCGCTGGAGACTATATGCCTCACTAATCCAAGTTTTAAGGATTCCTGGAGAACTAGTCTTTAGTCCGTGGGAAGAATCTGGATTCTGATTTCAGTGAAAGATGCCAGGGGCAGGAATATCAACAACGACAGAAACACTAGGCAACTCTCCAGCACGCGAAAAGGCAAGCAAGCTGAATGCAAATCCCTGGGACTCCCTTATGTTTGGGCCAATATCTGGACTGCCCAAGTTCAGGATGAGTCTATCAATTGGCCTAGTCAAGAGAATCCTTCACAAGTATGCCTAGTGGCATCTCTCGGTGATTCTAGACCTTGTCAGTTCAGTCAGTGACAGTATTATCATCACTGTCACTGGGACCTCCCTTCAGATAAAGTCAGATCCTTGACTATACATCATCATCAACAACAGCAACAGCCAAACAACACTACACAAAAAAAGGAGTAAAACAAAGTGGGTTTATTAAGTAAAGATACAGGATAATACTTTTGGTCTAAGCTTGGGGGAGGGAGGTTTTATAAGACAGTGATCAAAATAAATCAAAATAAATGATCAAAATAAATGTCACTGCTTAGTTCCTTTCCAGTGTTTTGCCTATTAGTGGTGTACCTAATGTTTTAATTTAGCAACTCCTAAGGAAATTTCTTGCGTCTGGGCCTTAAGAGATCAAATTACTGCCCAAAGGATGGTCCATCCCATCACAAGGACAATTGCTCAACTGTGTCCATAGCAATTTTGTTCATCAGAGCCAGAAAATGGAAACAAACTAGATGTCTCTCAACAGAAGAATGGATAAAGAAAATGTAGTGCATTTACACAACGGAGTATTACTCAGTTGTTTAAAAAAAATGCCAGGCAGTGGTGGCACACGCTTTTAATCCCAGCACTTGGGAGGCAGAGGCAGGTGGATTTCTGAGTTGGAGGCCAGCCTGGTCTACAGAGTGAGTTCCAGGACAGCCAGGGCTACACAGAGAAACCCTGTCTCGAAAAAAAGAAAATAAGAAAAATAAATAAATAAAAAAAATGACACTATGGAATTTGCAGGCAAATGAATAGAACTAGAAAAAAATCATCCTGAGTGAGGTAACCCAGACCCAGAAAGACAAACATGGTATGCACTCACTTATAAGCAGGAATTAGCTGTTAGTAAAAGATAGCCATGCTATAATCCACAGGCCCAGAGAGGCAAGGTAATAAAGCAGAGAACAAGGGAGTCGGGTCCCATGCATCTCTCTGGACGAGGGAAATAGATTCTGTGAACAGACTGCGGTGGTGGACGACGAGAACAGTCGAGATCAGAGAGGGAGGGTGGGAAAGAGGGAGAGAAGGAGGGAGGGGGGAGGGAGGGAGAGAGGGAGAGGGTACTGGGAGTGATAACTGGAATTTGGGGGGCATTTGGGAGTGATGTGGAAACCTAGTGCAGTGGAAACTCCCTGGAATCTACTAGGGTAATCCTATCAAGGACTCCTGGTGTTGGGGGACACAGAGCCTGAACCGGCCATCTTCTGTAACCAGGCAAAGCTTTCAATAGTGGTACTGGGACACCAACTCAGCCACAAAACCTGCAACTTACAATTTGTCCTGCCTGAAACACATGGTGCAGAACATGTAGGAGTGGCCAACTTGCAGCCCGTGTCACCACAAGAGGGAGCCCATGCCTAACACTGCCTGGATGGCCAGGAACCAGAGGTTGGATAGCCCAGAGTCCTAGTCCTAAAATTGACTGGCAAAAAACAAAGCAAAACAAAACAAAAAACAAAAAACAAAAAAACAAAAAAAGACAACAACAACAACATAACCACATTGCTGAGATGATTTCTAACAATATTCTACTATATTCATAGATTGGTAACTAACTCAGTTGTTATCAGAAAGGCTTCATCCAGCAACTGATGGGAGCATGCAGAGACCCACAGCAAATATCAGGCAGAGCTCAGAGAAATCCCCAGAAGTGATGGGGCAAGGATCATAGGAGATAGAGAGAGTGAGGATGCCATGAGAACATAGCCCACAGAATCAACTAAGCAGAGCTCATAGGAGCTCAAAGAGACTGAAGTGATAAATAAGGGGCCCTGGATGGGTCTAAGCTAAGTCTTCTGCCGGTATGTTATAGTTGTACAACTTGGTGTTCTCGTGGTACTCCTAGCAGTGGAGGTGAAAGGTGTCTGAATCATTCATCTACTCTTAGAACCCTTTTCCTCCTACTGGGTTGCCTCATCCAACCTTGATATTATGGGATGTGCCTAGTCTTTGTAACTTGTTAACCTATGTTCAGTTGATATCCCTAGTAGGCCTGCTCTTTTCTAAAGGGAAATGAAGGAGGAGGGAGGAAGAGGGGGAGGAAGAAGAGGAGAAAGAGGAAGAAGAGGAATGAACCTGGAAGAGAGGAGATTGGGAAGGGTGGAAGGAGGGGAAACTGCAATCAGGATGTAATGTATGATGGAATAATAATTTTTTAAAAGATATCAAATTACTGGCTTTCTACAAACCACACATGTTCCTTCCCAGAAGTCAAAAAAATCAATAGAGGGGCCTTAAGTCCAATTAGACTTGATTGGATGCCACCAAGATATGGATGCCACTTCTGTACTAAGAGTTATTGTGCCTTGCTGGTCGTTTTTGTAGTTCATATGCATCACAGCTTGGTAGGACTATTGATTCTTTCCCTTGGAACTTTTTTAATTTTAATTTTTTTTATTTTTTTAAAGTTTTTCGATACAAGGTTTCTCTGTGTAGCCCTGACTGTCCTAGAAGTCACTCTGTAGACCAGACTGGCTTCCAACTCACAGAGATGCGCCTATCTCTGTCTCCCAAGTGCTGGGATTAAAGCCGTGCACCACCACTGCCTGGCTTCTCCCTTGGAAGCTTGCATAACACCTGCCTTCTGGTATCAGCTAGTCCTCAGGGAGAAGACTTTCAGTTTAGTTCCAGCTTGGATCCTCAGTGTCTTGGATCCTTGGTGTCTTCAGCAATAGGGACTTAATTTTCAACCTCTAGGAGGCAACCTAAGGTAACAAAAATGCCATGTAATGTTTTGGGAGTCTAGGGGCTTATGTCTGGTATTGAGGGTTTTGCTGGATATTCTATGGGTTTTAGTGGAGCATTGTCAGCCCAGTTGGGAAAGTTTTATTTAAACTATGTATCTATCTTTATGTCTATCTACATATGTCTATATCTATATATGGACTTATGTGTATTAAGTGTAATTTTAGGTTAAAAGAGTATGATTTTTTTATGGCTTTTTCCAAAATTTTTATCGTTCTCTTATCTTCCTCCTTCCCTCTCTTTCTGTATGGACCTACCTCCTTTCTCCCTCCTTAACGAAACCTACCCTGATCCTGTTTCATTTCAATGGCTTCTGTGGATACTTCAAATTATGTACTCACATCTGAAGCTCTAGAGTTCAGAGCCACAGATGAGAGGAACATCACACATCTGTTGAACCTGGATTACTTTACTCAATAGGGTCTTTTCTAGTTCTGTCCATTGACCTCCAGATTTCATTTTTCTTACAGCTAAGTAGCACTCCATGGTGTGTATGGATCACCTTTTCATTACCCATTCATCAGTTGAAGGGCCTCTAGGTTGTTTCCATTTCCTAGCTATTGTGATGAACACAGCTAAGCAAATATCTGTGGTAGGATCTCAAGTCCTCTGGGCATGTGCCAAGAAGTGATGTAGGTGGATCAAATGGTAGATTTACTTCTAGCCATATTTATTTTCAGAGTGGCCGTACCAGTTTGCAATATCACTAATACTAAATAGGGTTCCCTTTTCCTCATACCCTCTATTCAATTTGTCGTTAATAAAACAAATAATATTTGTTTTGTTATACGTTAGGAGAGCAATTCCTGATCACTTTCTGGTCCCATTGGATTGGAGGACTTGTCCCATCCTTTTATTTTAGAGTGGTGCCTATCTTTTAAAGGAAAGCTGAGTTTCTTGAAGACAACAGATAGATGAATTTGGTACCTTGACCCATTCAGCGGGCCTATGTTTCTTGATGGATGTCATTAATACTTAAAGTTATTGTTGAGAAGCGTATGCTGATTGCAGTCATTGTGGTGTTGTTATTGTTGTTGCTGTCTGTATTCCAAGTGTTTCTTCATGTTTCCATAATTATAGCTTCTTTTTTGTTCTTTTCTTTTCTACCTCCTCTCAGATATGCTTACTTCTCTCTTCAGTCTGAAGTTCTGCCTTTAAGGTTTTATTTAGGGCTGGTCTCTGGATAGGAATTGTTTTAACCTGTTTGGCTCCTGGAAAGCTTTTCTTACTACTTTGACTATGGCAGACAGTTTTGCTAGGTATCATAGTATAGATTGGTAGTTGTGGTCTTTTAGAATTTGGGGTGCCAAATTTAGAAGCCAGTCTCTTCTGGCTTTTAAAGTTTTTAAGAAGTCAGTTGTGACTCTTGGGTTTTCCTTTACACCTGATGTGTACTTTTTCCCCCTGAGCAGCTTCCAACACACTTCCTTGTTTTGTTCTGTGCACTTAGTGTTTTAGCTATGATATTCTACAAGGATTTTATTTTCTGGCCTTACCTATTTGGTGTTTTGTATGTTCCTTGTATCTGTATGGGTGTATCTTTCCTTGGTTTGTGAGTATTTTCTCCTGTGATCTTGATGAAGATCTGGTCTGTGCCGTTGACCTGGTAGTCTTCTCCTTCATCTATGGAGTCCTATGATTTGAAGGTTTGGCCCTTTCATGGTATCCTACATGTTCCTTTCTTGATTTTTATTTTATTTTGTTTTTTAATTTTTTTCATATTCTTTGCTTGTGTGATCTATTTTTACTTTATCCTTGAGTTCTGAACTTGCTCTGTAGATCAGGCTGGCCTTGAAATCACAGAGATCTGTCTGCCTCTTCCTCCAAAGTGCTGGGATTAAAGGCATGTATCACGACCACCTGGCTCTTTTTTTTTTTTTAAAGGAAAAATTTTATTTTTATTTTGGTTTTGGCTTTTTAAAGACAGGGTTTCTTGTCTAGGAGCATGCTCTGTAGAACAAGCTAGCCTCACCTCATACTCAGTAACCTGCCTGCTTCTGCCTCCCAAGTGCTGGGATTAAAGTAATAGACACCTCACCAAACTTCTGAGCATTTCTCTTCCCCCTCCTCCTCTCCCTCCTCCTCCTCCTCCCCCTCCTCTCCCACCTCCTCCTCTCCCTCCTCCTCCACCCCCTCCTCTTTACTCTCCCCCTCCTCCCCTTCCCCCTCCTCTTCCTCCCCTTCCTCCTCCCCTTCCCCTTCCTCTTCTTCTTCCTCTTCTTTTTCCTCTTCTTCTTCCTTCTCTTCCTCTTCTTCCTCCTCCTCCTCTTCTCCTTCCTCCTCCTCCTCTTCTCCTTCCTCCTCCTCCTCTTTCATCTCCTTTTTCTTCTGTTGTTTTAATTTATTTCTTCTTCTTTTTTATTAATGTAGGAGTGCTCTGTCTGCATGCATACTTACACAGCAGAAGAAAATCAGATCCCTTTACAGATGATTGTGAGCCACCATGTGGTTGCTGGGAATTCAACTTAGGACCTCTGGAAGAGGAGCTAGTGTTCTTCTGAGCCATCTCACCAGCCTTAAGCATTTATTTTTA